AAAATTGTAAAATTTTCTAGGGGTATTGGCCACCCCTCACACCCCCCACAAAACAATGGAAAAGTTCTAAATTTATTTTAGTGTTTTGTCTCAGACACTTTTAAAGTGCCCAGACATCATCAAATAGCTCTTTGATATAGTTGGTGTTTCTGGGGGACTTGCTCCCCCTCTTGCAGCTTGCACTTGCATAACCCCCCCCCCCCCCTCTGGCGCCCCCCCTCTTGACCCCCCCCCCCCCCCCCCAAAAAAAAAAAAATTGTGATTTTCTCAAATTCTTTAATTGACTCATACAATTTGAAAATGCCCAGAAAGCACCAAATAGCGTCGTAAAATTGTAAAATTTTCTAGGGGGAGTGGGCCACCCCTCACACCCCAAACAAAACAATGGAGAAGTTCTGAATTTGTTTTATGTATTGTCTCAGACACTTTTAAATTGCCCAGATATCATCACATAGCTCCTTGATAAAGTTAATGATTCTGGAAGACTAACACTTACTCGCCCTCTGGCATCCCCACTCCACCTCCCCCTCTGGCAGCCCCCCCCTAAAAAAAAAATTTGGGATGAGATTTTTCAAATTTTTTTATTGACTCATACATTTTGAAAGTGCCCAGAAAGCACCAAATAGCATCTTAAATTGTAAAATTTTCTTGGGCTTCTAGGCACAGACACTTTTAAAGTGCCCAAACTTCCAATGGAATAGCACCTTTATATTGTAAGTTTTGATATGGGGGACAAACACTTGCTCCCCCTCTGGCACCCCAGCCCCACCTCCCCCTCTGGCACTCCTCTCCCCCCCTCTTTGACACCCCCAAAATTTGAAAAAATTGTGATTGTTTTTCAATGTTTTTATTGACTAATACCTTTAAAAGTGCCCAGAAGCACCAACATCCCTTGTTCCCCTACTGGCACCCTACCCAACTTCACCCTCTCATCCTCTTTGACACCCCCAAAAGAATTTGAAAAAAAATTCACATTTTTCTTATTGACTCATAACGCACAGACGTACCAGATGGTTCCAAATTCGCTCCAAATACAAGCAAATTTCAAAATTTTCCTGGGGGAGAACCCCAGACCCCCCTGAATGCTCGGTTTTTTATTCACTCAACTCTTATTCTTGTGGTGGTGGCGTACTTCTAACTTAGAAACTTACACTTTGAAAGTGCACAGGAAGCACCAAATAGCATCTCAAAACTGTAAAATTACCCCCACAAAACAATTGGAACGTTTGGATGTTGCATTTGTTATTTCCAAACCAATATAGGAAGTAACTGACCCCCCCCCCCCCCCCCCCCCCCCCCCCCTCTGTCTTACGCAATTTGATTTACGCCGTAAAAAAATTGACAATTTTATATTCTCTTTAGGAAGCTAAAAACCGCACCCCCCTTGGAGAAAAGTGTCTTACGGGCCTGAAGCTTACCTGCTGTTTAAAGGCCAAAAATTGCACAGAAGGTCGTCTGTTAATTGAAGCCTGAAAGATTGAAGCCAGAGAGTGGCTACATTTTAATAAATAACCTGTTTTAAGAAATGTAAAAACTCACCTATACCCTTTTTGAATTAGATAATAGATATCATATAGCAGTGAAAACTGAAATATCAAAATCATGCAAAATCATGCAGTTTTCACCTTTTTGAGCGCTTTTGAGTCCCATGAGGTTTTTAAAACACCGAACCCCCTAGGCAAAAGCCTGCTAGGAGTCTGATGTGTAAGTATGTGTGACTTTAACTGATCTGATCGAGAGGACACATTGAGTGTGTCTGTTGAGGAAGCCAAGGAAGTAAGACAGGATGAGTGAACTATGTAATAATAATGACAAGTAAAACAAGGTTAATTTAATGTGAAACCACTAATCTTGTTAAGTTAAGTGATATTTATTGAGCGAATACAATGATTTGCATATATCATTGTGATTTCCCCAGGGTTTTTGAACAGGGTGCTACAACGTATAATGTCAACACCACAAGTAGTGACATATTGTTATAGTCTCCAATTTTTGTGGATGGGGCTTGGTGTACAGCATTTGGTGGTCAGCATCTATAACAAATGGTGTCTTTAAACCTTTAAACCAGTTGTTGAATTTGTAAAAATAAAAATATGTCCAAATATTGCAATATGCATATAGAAGGTCAGTCTTTAACAAATTACAGATGGTGACATTTTGCATGTTAATGCCTTGTTTAACTTCAGGCCCGTAGCTAGGATTTTCCAAGGGGGGTTCAGTTTTCAAAAATTTCCAGGGGGGGTTCACATTTGACAATTTTTGCCCGAAAAGGGCTATCACTTGAGAAGTGCTCAAAATGGTGAGAAAAACTGCATGATTTTGAAAGAATTTTCGGCCAGGGTGGGGGGGGGGGGGGTCGCCCGAGCCCTGCAACCCCCCCCCCCCCTCTGGCTACGGGCCTGAACTTTGATACTTTTCACTCACTAGTCATTATGTACAAATCATTTGACAATTTGTTTGTTAATGCCTTGTTTACCTTTGATATTGGTTACCCTGGCAATGAATTAAAGGTCTTATACTTTTCACTTAACCAGTACTCATAAATACAAGTCATTGACAATTGATTTCCAGTTACAGATTTCTACATAGAGTCTTACATTTATATATCACAAATCTACACTTTCATTGACCTTCACAGTTTAGTACAGAATTCAGGTATCAGAGGGGAGAACTTGAATTTTGTATTATTTTGAAAATATTTTGAGCTGTTACATGTTACCCTCTTTTGGTTAAGTGCAGTAACTTAACATACTGTCAATTGTATCTCAAATTGTATGTCACAATAGTTATATCAACAAAATAAACCATAAAATAAACAAAGCCACATTTAAAGTAAATAACATTATGTTCTTATCTTATCTATATACATTGCTTCTAAGAGGAGTGTTTCTATTTATGCCTATCCTAAATGTCATTGTCCCTGATGCTAATTTTTGCCATTTCTCCATTTTTGAATGTTGTGCCTTTTTCATGGGATGGATTTCTATATGCTTTAGAGCATGACCTTAGAGTCTGTAAATTATTTCTCTCTTTTCTCATGTTTCCACTCTATTTTACAGTTAAAATCATGACCTCTGTGAGTTTATATTTACACCTGTTTATTGTATATGGTACATCAACATACATTGTCAAGTTGTAAACTGTTCATGTTATCACATGAAATTGAAGCAAGTAAAGCAAATGTATCACATGAACTAACCAGCGATTAATCTCAAGTTTTACGGATTATGAATTACATTAGGAAAACATGGATTAGGATTATGTATTGAATGTTAAAATATAAAGTGAAAATACAGTATAACTGCTCAATAAAGTGTTTATACCATGTATGTGTTAAGCTCCTTATATTCAATGTCATGTTTTAAAATGAGCTTGAAATATGAACTCAAGGAGAAATAATGCAGGATCTTCAGTTGATTTGGCTGCAGATCTAATCCAGAATATAGAATTGTGACAAAACATACCAAGGGAAATGAAAATGTTAACAGTTGAATGCATATTGATGATATTAACTGAGATATGTGTTAAATAAAACCCGGTGACATCATGGATCGAATGTACTTTCACACGGAGATGTCTCTGTGGTACTTTGAAGTAAGTACATGTATCTGATAAAGCATCAGAAAAGGGATTTTTCAAGTTTCCAAAGGACAACTGGTAACCATTAACATTTTAATAGAAATAATCACATAGATACAGTACATACAGAAATGGTAGTTACATGTATTTAAAATTCCTCTTTGTTGTAACTGAGAAGTAGTTTTCATAAATCATGTCATCAAGTTCTGCAGTTCATTAACTTTTTGTTGGTTGCGTGATTTTATTCTGTCATATGCCTCGTTAAATCCTAAGGAGTACAAATTAATTAAGATTTAAAGCCACTTTAAAGGGATATATTAGTTGTTATTTATAACAGAATTTGTATCTACTGAATCCCTTGCAGCTTGTCTCCTATAATTTCTGGTACACTATTATTTTTGTTAAATTCTTCAATCTTCATGTCTAAATGACTGATATTATATCCCATCAATTGTCGTTACGCTTGTTTTTTTCTTGATTTTATGTCCTAATAAAACAATTTTTTCAATGAAGTTTCTTGTTTTATTTTACTGTCAGGGGAAATAAGGTGTCACTTTGTAAAATATTGCGACAAAGGTTCTGAGAATCCTTGTAAATTACAGGAACATGCTCAGATATCAGACTGCCGGCCAGGATGTCTCAAGTTGCCTGTAACTCAGCTGAGGGTTTAGTTATATCTTAGATGGAAATTAGAAAAGTAAAAATCCTACATGATTTAAGGCTAAGAATGCTTACTTAGACATGAATTTTTAGTATTATTGGTAGTATTCTTGATCATTTCTAATAAAAGTAGTGCAGTTATGACTACTTTTTTCTAAAATTGTTTTTATCTAACATTAGCAGTCAGCAATTTGGTTTAGGGGTTAGAGCTCTCATCCTTTTTAAGCCAAAGTGGGTTCAAATCCCAGCGAAGATATTTGTTTTTTGTTTTTATTTTCTTCATTTTTGAATCATAATATATTTTTTTAATTTCTTTATGTATGACACCAAGTCATTTTTATTACTTTCAAGGGCTTTAAAATATAAATAAATCCCTTTAACCACTTGAATATCAGAGTATTTTTCATTTTTTACTTGCTTTTGCCATATTTTTATCTTAAAAAACAATCTTTGATGTTCATGTTGGTAATATATCTGTACATAGAACATAAATTACACACATTTTAATACATATTTTGTGTAAATTGAAAACAAATGGTTAAGTTAAAGCAATTGTAGTGAGAAATTCTGTGACTGCATGGGTTTTCAAGGAGTTAAAATCATTAACGTCGTTGTTATCAACATTGAAACTGTAAAATCATTTGTTGGTAATCAGAGTGTATATGTAGTGTGACTGGTCATCAAGAATCAGGGTTCTGTGAGCAACAAAATTTCAATGCTAATCCAACAAAAAGTAATTTTTGATGTTTGTATACTTCCAGGATGATAATGATTCTGGTTATGCGACAGCTAAAGAAACGCTACCTGGGATGCCAGAGCCACTTATTCGACAGCCCAGTGCCGACACACTCACTCGTGAGGATTTGCGGCGGAGGATAGATCAGTTCAATAGAAATAAACACGGATTACAAATAGAAATGGTATTTATTTAATATTCTTCTTTGTAGTTTTTTAAGGATTTTTTGTTTTTGTATTTTTCAATTTGTGAAAAAATATGAGTAGATGTGTCCCATTTTGATTCCCCATCGTGCGGGATATCTTTTAAATTGGTCCCCGTTCCTCTTGTTATAACCTAGATCCACAATTTTCCAGAAATTTGATAATATGTACTGCATATAATATAGCATAAACAGAATGTTGTTAAATGTTTGTGTAGTTACTTATTTTATAAACTTATATATTGCTTGATCTTTTGATGCTCGTGATCTATACATGGAAAAGAATCAAAAATCCAATAAAGATCTAGTTAACATTTATATAACCATATTCATCTTTCTACATGCATTTTCCAGTTTTTACACTTATCTTCACTTTTCACATGTAAATTGTAGCATGAAGGAGAAACCAATAAGAACACATTCCGTGGAGTGATACGGGTTCATATGAGTCTTATACGTCCAATTAACATGTCCCTGGCAGAGAGGCCGCCATCTATATATGAGGTCCTGACACATGAGTTGGAAAATGAGGCTGATATGAATACAGCCGAAAGAAGGAAAAACAGGACCACATCGTTCTATCTTCCTAAGGATACCATGAAAGCATTACATATCGATAGGTGAGATTTTGTATAATATTAGCAAAAAGGTGGCACTCTCAATCTCAATGGGTGTATATTTATTTGCTAAAAGGAGACAGTAATTAGTTGTATCATACAATGATCAAGTTTACAAATGATTCAATCAAATATGTTTTGTTCCATGAGATTTGCTACTCTGGTGCTACTCTGGTGTTACTGTCACCAGAAAATGAAAATGAAATGTATCAATGAGTCTAGGAAACTACTTTTAAATTTTTTCTATGAATATTCATCTCTCTGGTAGAAATGTACTATTAACAAAGAAAAATAAATATCTCGGAGAAAAAAAATCAACAACTTTGTTAATAGTACTTTTAAATTGTCTACCATTAATTTACGCCTTATAGATGAATAACATGCCAAATTCTTGATTTTAAAGTACCCTTTTCTCACAATATATATACAGGGTGTTCATAAGGCCTCTTTACATTTTGAACATCCTTTGCATTGTAATTGTAAAGAGACTTTTTGGACACCATGTATAGTTGATATGCATATATTATGGACACCATGTATAGTTGATATGCATATATTATAGACACCATGTATAGTTTATATGCATATATTATAGACACCATGTATAGTTGATATGCATATATTATGGACACCATGTATAGTTGATATGCATATATTATGGACACCCTGTATAGTTGATATGCATATATTATGGACAACATGTATAGTTGATATGCATATATTATGGACACCATGTATAGTTGATATGCATATATTATGGACACCCTGTATAGTTGATATGCATATATTATAGACACCATGTATAGTTGATATGCATATATTATAGACACCATGTATAGTTGATATGCATATATTATGGACACCATGTATAGTTGATATGCATATATTATGGACACCCTGTATAGTTGATATGCATATATTATGGACACCCTGTATAGTTGATATGCATATTTTATGGACACCCTGTATAGTTGATATGCAAATATTTCCAGTGACACAACCACTAGAGAGGTCATCACGACTCTGCTCTCAAAGTTCAAGATCACTGACAATCCTCGCAAGTTTGTACTCTATGAGCACACCCTGGAAATAGATGACAAGAAAGGTAACAACTCAATACTATTTTTTTAGCAAAGACTTGAATGTAAAGATTGTTTCCACCAAGTTTTGGTCAATAAATATCGGGATATTCTGCTAATGGTTAAAATGTATAACAAAATTGAAGTCATCCTGTTTCTTCGCTATTTTTGAAGAAAAGAATATACTAGATAGAAACTAAATAAAATGTGAGCCTCATCACAAGCGCATAAAAGAGAAAAAATGAGCGGAGGGGATTGTACGGTTTCAAGAAAATTCAACAAATCTGCAAGATTTATTTTTTCATGAGGAAGTTTACTAATAAATCTAAAATTTTTTGAACGATTCATTTCTAAGCTATGAGAGCTATTTAAAAAGGTGCAATCTTAACAAAGTGCAAAAATCGATCTTTTTACTTAAAATTAAGCAGTAGAGGTCTGACAGATATGATGAAACCCCTTTTAGATCCCTTCTTAGGTTAAGTTCAGTGAGGAAATACTAACCAGCTAACCTAATTAATATTCCATTTAGATCTAATTATTGAAGCAAATAAATGAGGTATTTGCATATTGTCAGGTTGAATTGACGTGGGTAAAAAAGACATATTCCAGATGTCAGTTGGGTAAATTTTTGATTAAAGTCAGGTAGCCAGATATTCTTTTGTTGTCAATTGGGTAAATGATAAAAGAAGTAGCCAGACGTTCTTATTGTTCTATTAAGCTTACAATCTTTTCTGAGCTGAAAAGAATTGAGATCTGATGGAATATGGAAATTGTTGAAGATTTAGGTTGCAGAAATGTCCTAACCTTATTGAATTTTCATTTCCGTCAGATAACCTTAAGAACAAAGGAATATACTGAGAACAAATTAAAACTGTAAGACTTATAAGAAAGTTGGCATGACATGGACGGATGAGAAGAAATAGAAATGCAGAATTGTGACATCTCTTTAAATTAAAGTGACTCTGAAGTCATCTGTAGTCTTTGTAACTCCTTCAATACAACTCAACAGGGACCTGAATATTCTCAATAGATTCCTGAGATGAATTCTTTAGAAGTGAAAAGACTTCTATGAAAAGCCATGATTTCTCTACCCTATATATTCATTTGACTAAGCTTCTTAATATATAGCTTTGTCTACTAGAGGAATATCTGAACCAATCAGAGCCAACCAGAGCTTGTCGTCGCCAGAAAGAAGATTTTCTACATATGGCCATTTCCGCTAACGTTATTGTTGTGTTGTTACCAATATTGACCAACATTACAAAATAAGAAAATGTACTCCATATGAATACAGTGTCAGTCATCTCTTACAATGAAGACCAATTTTATTATTTTCTCCACCGCAAGTGGTAACACATTTTTACAGTCTCTAACTTTTTTGTGAACCTTTTTTGACATTCGGCCATTGGCATTTGGCGCTTGAAATTCAGCATCTGTAACAAATGTCATGTGGTGACATTTTGTATGTTAACACCTTGTTTGTATTTAGTATGATCTGTTTGAGTATAAGGTGACATTATAGCATGGTGGCACACTGTACTCACTTGTGCAACAATATTGCAATAGTACAACTTTTAAATTGATGACATTAATAAAACATGAATGAATAAGATACAAATGCTGGCAATAAAAAGATGAAAATCTCGCAGTTAAATAGAAACATATTTGTTCAGCTAAATAATGGCCTAGAGCAAATAACTGATTAAACAAAACAATAAATCCAGGCTTACGTTTTTTACTCTGGCTATTAAATAACAATAGAATTGCTAGTTATGATAGCACTCACTTACTATCCTAACAAACAAAAGGACGATACAATCATCTTTCTGAGCAATTATATGATTCACACATATGCTTTACCATAAGCAATGACCAAAGCAATCGTGTTTAGTAAATTTAGAGTATCAGAAAATGTGCCGCATTTATCTGAATATAATAACCTTGCTTATTATTTGCATGGGCTTTCTATTGAATGTCCATGAATGATGCTATTTGTAATATCTTGAAATAGAATCTTGGTATCATCTTGCAAATATGCAGACTTTATACTTTTTTTTAATTAACCTCACTTACCAGAATAAGTTTTATATTACAAGATTAAAAAAAGGGGTTGTACCAATTATGATTGGCTGCTGAACATAACGGGTATAGTTCAAAGAAACTGGTCTACAGCATGTAGATTTAGATATTGGTTAAGCGCCACCCAAATTTTGAAAAAATGGGGGGCGCTTATAGGCATCATTGTGTAGAATGAAATTTATCAAAACCACACATATAAGGATCAGTGGCGTAGTGTGAGTACTTTTTAATCTAGATTTAGTCTCTAGGCTTTCTAGACACTTCACCCTTACACTGTTCTCCCATTAGAAGTTTCACCCCTGACATGTCTTAGAGGTGAAATGCCTAGAGGGTGAAATGTCCAGGGGTGAACTGTTAGGGGGTGAAACATCTAAGGAATGAAACAACCAAGGGGTGAAATGCCTAGAGGTGAAATGTCTAGGGCGTGAAATATATATGGGGTGAACCATCTGAGTAAATGAAATATCCAGGGTTTTAAAGGTCTAAGGGGTTAACTGTCTATAACTGGTATATCAAAGGGGTGAAACGTTTTGATGCCTTATTGTTTATACACATACACAGAGCTAGGCAAGGTGTGTCCGATTCCAGCCAATCTGTACACAGTATTTCATATAACTGCAGTACATAATATCACCAATCACTGCATCCAAGATCATTTCTTATGTGGTTGTCAAGGTGACCACTTGACTCTATAAAGAAATTGATGCTTAGTGCCAACATGACCCTCGCAAAAAGTTTTATTGAAAATATTTTCTTTTCTTGATTTCATATTTGTGACATGGTAAAAAGTATATTACAATGTGTAAAAAGAATTTACATGTAAGCACAAGACTCAATGCATTGTGGAATGACCATTCCTTTCATTCTCGGCATTGTTTCTTCAAACTATTTCTCGATGCTGTGCATTTCATGCAAAGGAAGAGATTTTGAAAATTCGCGAAATATAATAGCAGTGAAATTCCAACAGTTCTAATTCGCAAAATTAAATCGTTATTACAGTTTTAAAATGAACATTCTACCGGAATGGCTTATTTAAAAGCCAAAATCATCAGGCGAAGGAACAATCATGGCTGATATCGAAGTCGAAAGAGTGATCTTGTATGACAAATCCACAAAAACTAATAGCCGCAATTTTTCAAAAAACTGAAAATTAGCGAACACTTCATGATTGAATTATGGCCATAATAAGTGGCCTATACATCAATACTACTGATTATAGGTCAACAAGATACTAGTGTGCATATCAATATAATAATAAAAGCAGTATATTCATTTTGAAAAATCAGATGAATTAATTTTTTTCGTGGGGAAATCATAATGGAGAGTGCACTACTTCCTTTTGGAAAGCAACACCTTTAAAAATGGTCATTCCACATTGCACTGAGTACAGCATTTGAATTCTTAAATTATATAGCCCTTGTGAAAAGACCCCTGGACCAGAAGTCTACTAGATTCTCATTCTAAGACCACATAACGGTGGATTATTAAATTGTTATTACAATTTTCCATTAGACAGGATACTTAATTGTCCAATAAAGAAAGCATTATTATCACTTTAATGTTGTTCATAACATAAGTAGAACATTGTGTTACAATTAAAAAGGATACAAAGGATACAAAATATCAGAATCATTATGAACCCAATACATGACAATTGCCAAGAGGGAATAATCTGGGTTTTTGTGTTACAGAAAAAGGTGTGGTCCCAAAGGTATTAAGGCATCAAAGAACAAGCATTCCCAATTAAAACCATCCATTGTATGTTTATTCAGTAGACCCTTCTAAGAAATCTGGATTGTTTTGTGAACCAAAGAAACTATTTGGCTCATAAACTAAGCTATAAAGTCATAATTTTCATACTTTTTGCTAATTAACAAAACTGAGAGAATTTTGGAAGTTCATCCTATTTCTGCGCTGAAACTGTAAAAATGATGCCAAACAATAGATGGCGTGATTTAACTGCACTGGCCTATGGATTCACACTGGCCTATGGATTTCCATTTCCTATGAACTGTGACACAACAATTTCCCATTTCCTGATCTTGATCAGGTAGTTCTTGCAGAATTTGTAATCTGGTAAAACCATGCAACCATTCGCTGCACATGTACAAGGGGTGATCAAAGAGTAATAGATGCTTTATACTCAAATGATTCTCAAAACCCAATTTTTGTGATTTTGTGACCTGTGATGCATCGTTTAGTTATCTATTAGTCCCAAGGACAGAATTTGCAAGATATCTCAAGGAGTCCTAATTTTGATGAAAGTACAGAAGTACTGTAACACCAGAATTGACAATTATGTCACTGTGTCACACCGGAATAGCCTGATAATGGTAAAGTCAGATACCGTTGTCACAAATGGCAGACATAACCATTGCTTCAATTAGATTTTCATGAACTGTATGTTTAATAGAGCACCTAGACTAAATTCCTTAGGAACAACAATCAATCAAAGTGTCTTTATACACATTGTACAGTATGTAATTGTAGACCTCTCTTGAGGTCAACTGGCAAAATTATATACCGATACTGTAAACCTTGAAAGTACTGTTGACCGAAGGTCGAGGTCAACAGTAATCTCAAGGTTTACTGTTGTGGTATACACTTTTGCCAGTTGACCGAATAGAGAGGTAAACAATTGTTTTGTTAGTCTGAAGAATATTATAATTGGAGGGATATATTATTGAGTATCACATGAACATATTTGATAAGTGTAGGTATCATATTTTAGCAACTTATTTTTTCAATTTTTTTTCAAAATTAAAAAAAATTCAATATTTAAAAAACATTTTCTTCAAAAGTAGCAGTCAACAGTACCTAGTAGAGGTCAACAGTACATATTGTTGACTGCTCATTGACCAATCAGAATTGAGTATTTCAATTGAGGTACTAACAAGGAATAATGTTCAACCATCGAAATAAAGTCTTTAATTTAACCGATCAAAATGAGATACGGGACAACGGACACTGCATTACCATATGCTATAGTCTTTGTAAATTATTTCCAATTCAGATTCTGTTGTCATTCCTGATATCGAAGACGCTATATTGTGGCAATTCATGACCCAATTTCATCGAAATGGGGATTTCATATGATAAATCATCACAAGAGCTTAATACATGCACAGAATTAGCGACGATATAGTCCCATGAAACGAGGACCAAGTGATTGAAGAGTTGAAACGTTGTTGTGTCCGCCATTTGTGACAACGGTATCTGAATTTACCGTGATCAGGCTATTCTGGTGTGTGTGTATTCTGAAGCTTTTTTATGTAATTTTGAAAATTAAAACCTATTTGAAATAATAATATATGGTTCCTCTAACTAACCTTTCATAGCTTTTGGATGTGACTACAACCTTCGTCAAATCCGAAAGCTATGAAAGAAAGTAAGTTATTCAGGTTAGTTAGAGGAACCATATATTATTATTAGTCATAACTAACAGATGAACATCTTTGGCACTATTTAAAGTAATGTTTTGTCTACGGAAAAATATATATTACTTATATGTTTTTTAATCAGTTTAGTTTCATATGATCAAGAAACCAAAATGTTTGAATGTTATTACAAGTTGTCAAAGAATTATTTCAATATGTCCAATTCTGTCATCGTTGTTCAGCATTTTTTAGGCTTATCATTTCACCACCAAGATGTGGTTTATATTGTTTTAACCCTTTCAGGACCATAGGCTCCTTTTGGCACCATTCTTTTATTTTATATACATGAATAAATTGACGATATCTCCAGTTCTGTCCATTATTTTTACACAAAATTTTGACAAGTTGTTCTAATGTGATAATCCTTACTAAATATTGTATTTCAGTGATAAAATTCAAGGTATAGGTCCTGGGGTGTAGATAATTTGTAGTTTTCCCCTAAAAAGCGCTCTTACTTATCCGTCACCTGGGCCAACGTTTTCTTCTTCTATTCACGTCGGGAAAGGGTTAAACACCATTTATATATGACTGGTTCCCTGAGTTTGGCATTGGCAGTCAATGTTTTCCAAGTGAAGGCATTTTTTCATATCATTGCCTTGTTTAAATTTTTCTTTTGTATTTCAGTTATAGTACGTAAACTCCATGATGACGAGCAGCCATTAAAGCTTTACTTAGACTGGAGTGAAGAAATACTCAATCGTAAAAAACTTGTTCTGCAAGAAAATGACTCAGGAGAAATACAGGTAAAACTGGCTAAGAGACCTATTGATGTGAAGGGAGCATTTCAAAAGATCGATGTCGCGTCGGAAAATTAACTATATTTGAACAGCAACGGGAGCGGGTCATTATCCTTAAAAGTTAGGTTTCTGACAAAAGTTAAAATTTAGCTTTCCAACTATATTCGAGAGAGGCTCCCTAACTGGTTTGTAATCCTACATGCAGACATACGTATACACCTAAAAGTGACCAATTTGTTTTTTGTTGAATACCTGGTTTTTCATAACATCGCAAGAACAATTTCTAGAAACCGCATTGTAGGTAGTGCCATTACGGTGCCATTAGTCTAATTAAGCTATATCATTTGACATATAATATAAGCTCTCAGGTGAAATTAAAGATGTCATTTAGAAACAAATTTTTAGAATAGCCCAAGAGGGTTTCATAACCTTTCAGTTTTTCAGGAATTCATTAAAGACATACAAACATGTTTTTTTCACTTAAAATCCTATCTTTGAGTGCTGTAATTATTTCTGCCCCAAATTGTCAATTTTTGGCAAAATGAGGTCACTTAAGGTTTTGCATTGTCTTACTCAACTTTCTGTTAAACAAATATTAGCTGTAAACATCTTCTTATGGTATATCTTTTTGGGGCACCTGGTATTTGTACATGTATGTTGATGTGACTTCTTCATTGTTGACTCACATGGTCTCCCCTAGTAACATTCAAACAAAGAAACAGACAAATGACATTAATTTTGATCAATTCAACATGAGGTATTTGCACAATTATTACACTATTGTGAGTCATTCTTGATATTGGAACATTGCATTGTTAAATAGCATAGTTATCTCTTTAACCACCACCATTATGTATAATCAAATAGTTTTTTGTCTGAACAAGCACAATTGGATTTTATGTAAATCTTAATGTTATTTCTCTGCCATCTTATGCATGTCTGTTTCTGGGTTGATGCTTTTATCCTTCTGCACACAAGGGAGTATATATCTGCAAATAATTGCTATATTTGGAAATCAGATTCTGAGGATTACTGAATTTTAAAAAATTGTTATTATTTCTTATTGAGTTTTTATTTTTAATTAGTTTCATAAGAAGGACCGATCAAAATGAAAGCTTCACAATAAGTCATATCTGAACTCTGATATCTACCCAGGGCCAAGAGTACATATAATTTATCTGATAGAGGAATAAAGATCATGGTTCTACCGATTACACTCGATAATATGACTGATATTCTGTTCATTACTAAAAGACAAATCATGTAGCCTTTGGGGTACATGGCAATGGTCAGAATAAAATGTGTGGTCAAATATTTGCCATAAATCACAGAATCAATGTCTTTGTTATGATCATTATGAGATAAAAAAATTTTGACATCACATATCGTGTAATTTTCATTGATAATTTATTTATCTACCTCTGGATAAATCTGATATCCAACCCCCCCCCCCCCCCCCATAACATACCTCATTGTATTCATGCCTTTTTTACAAAGTTGAAAAATAAATAATATTTGCTTTTGTTCCAGTGGGATGCCTTCTCATTGCCTGAGTTGAACAACTCTGTACCTCCCCCCATAACATACCTCATTGTATTCATGCCTTATAACAAAGCTGAAAAATATATAATATTTGCTTTTGTTCCAGTGGGATGCCTTCTCATTGCCTGAGTTAAACAACTCTGACCCCCCCCTCCCCCCATAACATACCTCATTGTATTCATGCCTTTTTACAAAGCTGAAAAATATATAATATTTTATAATATTTGTTCCAGTGGGATGCCTTCTCATTGCCTGAGTTGAACAACTTCCTTAGAATTTTGGAACTTGAAGAGCGTGAATATAAAGAACAATTGAAGGCCAAGTTCCAATTATTACGACTTCAAATGCAAATGCGTCACAAAGAACTAACACAGTTAAAACGGGAACAGGATCGGCAGGTTTTTGTATGATGGTAGATCTATAGTGCTCTGTATATGTACAGTTGGAATTAAATCTGGACTGAATAATGAGATTTTGCAGAAAGATAGATAGAGACTTAATTATTAAGCATTGATAAGTAATTGTACCTATAGAGATACATTACATAACATATTTATTTTGTTCCCATAGGAAGCTATTGGTATAGCTGATAGCTGTTGGAAATTGTCAATATCTACAGTGGCTATATTGTGCTAAATATTCACCTTCAGATTAAGGCTTCCTTTGGGCCTGCAGTCTGATTTGTTTCTTGTCTTGACATTATCATTGTACAATAAACATATATTTATTCTGACTGTTAATGTATTTTTCGATTTACTTTTGAACTGAAAACATCATGCTGGGGTAATTAAATAAAATGTTTCGCTGCATTCCTACGCACATTTATTTCAGTAATGAATAATTAGATCAATGATGTATTTACATGTTTAACGTACATGTATTTTTTATTCATTCTTTTGGCAGAATCTTTATGTTGTAAGAATTTGGCATATTTTATGGTTATTATTATTTTTGAATTATTTTTTATTATGCATTCTTTGAAGGTGTAACAAATATAAAAATTCTTCTTTTCTCACCATACTATGAAAACATTAATGCTAAACATAGAACTTAATTATCCCGAATGAAGTTTGGTAGGGATATAGCGAAGCTTCTCTCTCAGTCAGTCCATCTGTCCATTCAGAGCAAAAACTCAAATACTAGTTGACTGGTTTTCTAGTTTTCTGGAATTTGCTATAATTCAGAGATCTGTTCAAACAAAGAATGGTTACATAATAATCCTACATACACTGTAGAATTACAAATATTGTCTTGTCTTTATGATTTGAAGTACCTTTAGAACTCCTAATGATCATGAACACCCAGATGATTAAATTTGTGGAAATTCTGATATATCTCCAATGTTTATATTTTATTATCTGCAAATAAGGATTGAGTGGATGGACAAAATTGTGACATATACAGATTCATGAATATTTTGATCGTTAGAATTCCCTACTCTGTGGAGGGAGTAGCAGTTTATTGGTTACTTTAACCCAAACCCAGATGTTCCAACTATTTTCTCATTTGTATTTAATTTGAAATCGCAGTTTTCAACATAACAGTCAGGATAATAATCCCAAGAGTGGAATAACGGAAGAGACTCATCTCAATTTTAGTGAAACCTTATTTGAACTTCTTTGTACATGCAGTGATATATGATGATTAACAGTGAAAGCATTAGAACTTCCTCGTGATATGATATGGCTCATATTGTACTTTTATTTCATGTGGTTAGGAGAGCTGACTGAAATATTAGGAGAGGGTTTGATATGATTTAGTAGAAAACACATTATTCCAGTGAACAGAGTTGAAGACTTAATTGTAAAACATTAATTTCGAACAGATAAATTTTAAATTTCAACTATTACTGTGATGATGTTAAGTACTTGTATGTTTGAAAAATATGATAAAACTGTTTATCATTTCCTGATTTATCCAAGTCCAATTTTTAAATCACCTCGCAGTATACACTCCCAGTCTGAACTCTGATATCACGTTACCGTACGGTACCATTTGCACAGTACATTAAGAGTATGGTAACGTACGGTACCGTAAGAGATTGGCTGTGTAATATTGTTGTTTAAAATATCAAGAGGCATGGTTTTCTCTTGGTAATCTTGCCTGTTTTTAACTATGGTTCCTTTGTTTCAAGTTGCCGTTATCAAACTGAATTATTACAATTATGAATTTACCTAAAAGCTTTCAAATGTCTCTTTTATAGACCGTGGTTTAAAATGATATGTAAATCTTCATTCAGTCAATTTTTGAATGGCTCTTGGATAATCTTAGGCCATAAGCCCTTCAATATCTTCACAAATCATTCAATAATTGAATAAATCCTGGCTTCTTAATATTACTTAACTCCAGCTCTATGTCAAACTACCGGACATGGAATAAATGGTCCATGAGGACCAAAGGTGTCAGGCCCTTATTCTGAAACTGTGGTAGACCTTATTAAAGCTCATTTTTGTTATTCCATCATAACACTGTGAAACCTGTGTACATTGAATACCTATGAAGTCACAAAAATGTGTTCACTGTAGGTGGATGCTCATTACAGAGAGAGTAATTTATACAAAGTCAGTAGAGTGTGTGGTGAGGAAGGTGTCCACTAGAGACATGTGTTCACAAGAGAGACCTGTTCACTAAGACAGGTTTTACTGTAGTTCATATAACATGTATTACTGAAAAATACACTTGTTGAGTTAACAGAATGACAAAAGACCATTTATTTTGTGATTCAGGATAAAGTTCAATACTGATGACATAAAAACATCAGAAAAGAATAAATGGAAAAAGAATGTTTAATCAAGTTGTTTTTGTGTTCCTCGAAATGAAAGAAATTATAGACTTGTAGATTAATTTTCATTATTGTTCCTGTAATTTTTGTCTTTGTATTTTTTATTGATTATACATTAACATGGCTAGTTATTTCTTCACAAATGTATTTTGTTACGACATGACTTAGAAAAAATGAAACAATTCTCTTGACACATTTTAAAATGTAAAGGATTGGTATCGATATGGTGAACTGAATTCAACATTGTTTTTCTCTTAAACCAATTATTCTGTAAAAAACATGGTCTTTTATGTAATGGTCACTGATTGATAATGATTTAATGTGAAAATTATTTATATATACTTTATATTATTGTTTTGTAAACAATTTTTGTCTCTTTGTGCAATTGTTTTTTGTTCCTTTCTACCAATTCTTGAGAATGAAATAAAAGATCTCTCTGAACCTTGTTGGAACAAATAGCATATACAAAATTAAAACAAAAACCCCAAAAATATATAAAAATTAAGGTAAACCATTTTACTTCATTATCTAGATACCTTTTTAAATTAACCAAACTTTCCTTTGTACAATTACAATATTGACAGACCTAAACACGTTGTTCATATGTCATTTTGTGAGTGGAATGAAGCAGCCACAATGCATTAAAACAATATAGAGAAAAGTATATATTTTTTTCAAATAACATTGTTACCATTCAAAAGATGATCATTAAATTGACGATGTGTAAAATGTTCAGAATTTTTTGATTACTGGTTTGCAAGAAACATGCATTCAATTCAGTTAGCCATATCGATATCAATCCTTTCAAACAGATAGTTTTTTGATTTCAGCAATTATTTACATGTAGTTGACTGTGATGATGTTAAGTATGTCTGAAAAATATGATAGAAAATATAAGATAAACCATGAGAGTTAACTTTCTTTGTTTTTGAGGTTTTGAGAAGATGATCATTTCACCGTTGCTCATATGACTGGAATATTGAACACTTCAACAATGTTCGTTTATTGTTAAAACAATTTAAAAAAATTAATTGTATGAAAGTATGCAAGAATGTATGATTGTTCTAAAATGTTCAGACTATACCGATAAGGTAATCCATGAAATCATTAAACAATTTAAAAAGATAATTGTATGAAAGTATGCAAGAAATGTACATTTGTTTTAAAATGTCTAGACAAATAAGGTGTTCCATGAAACCTTTATTAGTCTGAAGAATACCCCGTTTGCCAGAATACTCTTCAAGATTTCAGTGGAGTCTGAAAGAGATGGCATTGAAAAGTGGGAAATCAATGGTTAATTTGAAAATATTCCATATATAGGAGCAAAGGTATAATAGGATTTGTACAGTACAGTAATTGGATTATTTGTATAGATCTATTTTTGGTGACATGACAAAGGACTATTTGAAATTGGAAGTCTAATTTGTTTACTGCTTAACCACAGAATCAAATCCTACTTCCGATTCCGAAAGAACATTGGACTCTTCCATGGGGAATAATATGGAGGGTTTATGAGATCATACCTAGATTTTCAAAATATAAAGTAGATAGATACGATAAATAAAATACTTACTTAACGAGAATGAATTCATAATACGCCGTACTATATGTCACATCAGAGGTGTAGATTTTTCAAAAAGACAATACTACCTATTTTCTATCATGTAATGTTAAGAACATTGGTTTGATGAAATAAGTGAACACCTCTCTCTCGTGAACAACTGCCTCTAGTGGACACTCTTCCTCCGCACATACTCTTAAAATGAATCAACCCCTCTGTAATGAACATCTACCAATACTGAACGTTTTTTGGCAAAAAATGTTCAATATGCACAGGTTTTACTAATGTTTTGTTTGATGGGTATTGCTACTCCGGGGAGTTGCCATTGTGGGATCTACTATCCATTGGAATAAAGCGTCGGGTAAAGAGGAGCTCTAATAAATCTGAATGACGAGTTGCTGTTTTTCTAGTTTCAAAAATAAAGTGTTACATTAGTTTTTGGACCACTCTGTACCCAAGTGCATCATGGTACAATAAAGTATGTTATTCTAGTTCATAGCCAATACCTTTTTTTTTCTTTACTGAGAATGATAAATCACGTTGCAAAAGACGTTCTCTTATCAGTCCCTTATCACTTATTGTTTTTTATTTCTTCCTGTTTGTACTGCCATCAAGCTGTTATGTTTTATGAAAATGGAATAAGAGAATGAAGGATGACGCGGTTCCATTTTATGATTCATTAGGTCTTTGTCGCAATCCTCTTAAGATATTGAACAAAAACATGCGATCTGTCATTTGAAAAAAGATATTCCCATCCAGTCAACAGGTCAAGGAATAATGAAATGTCAAAGAGCTGTCATTAGTGATATGTGGCAGATATATGTGATAAACAGTGTTTGCAATGGTCAAGGGTTTGATAAAAAACTTAGTTGTGAAAATTATTATCAAAATGTATTGAAAAATATAGACTTGCTATTTTCAGATTTTGATAAAGAGATACCTTTTCCAAGTGTCGGTTCACATTTAGAATCTAGTGTTGTCTTCACACAAAAATAAAACAGATAAATTGGAGAAGAAAATTGAGGACTACAACTTCATTACAATCTTCAATTCTAGTGTAATTGGAATGTTTGTTTCATTCTTATTAACAGACAAATGATAGGAATAGTCAACCGACAGTGGCATCAATACATACAAATAGCTACTCTTGAATAAAATGAAGTCGATTTCATTATATTGTTCCTGGAAGACATATAAATATTTAGTACTAATGCAGTAATGTAAGACCACGAACTTGCTTCTATTTTACTGTGCAGTTGCTAAATGAATCAGGCCAATTTTGGGATCTAGTTAAAGGATAATTTGTAAACAATTTTACCCCCTGAAGTGAAGGATCCCTACATAACGCTGGTAGAACCGAAATTGCCCAAATGAGGCCCAGGATTTCAATAAAATAGAAACATATCTTTGTTTAGCTTGCTCGCTATATCAGATTCTCCCTTTAGAAGGAATCAAACTTGTTGGTCAATGTACTGTCACATGGTCAACATTGTGCGTACGTGCAATGTCTTGTTATTCAGTTATTATGCTATTGTAGCCTTGCCCAAGTCGATATTTTTTTACTTATCTGATCTTGAATTATTACCGGCGGTCATAATAGAAATCAAGGTAAGTATAAGAGACCGACTTGGGCAAGGCTATGTTATTGTAATAACGTCCAAAATAAAAGCGTTTTACATAAACAACACCTGATATGTGGACTTATCCTATGCCCAGTAGAGTTTTAGGGAAATAAGTTTATAAGATATATCCCATATCCTGATTTTGAGGTTTCCAGATCCAGAACCTCCATATCTCCCGCTCCAGGGCATATCTTCCCACTTTGAAAAATAAATTGAAAAAAAAGAATTTTTGAAAATGAATTTGAAAAACAATTTTGAAAAAGATCTTGGGAAAAAAATATGAAAAAAAATTTGACAAAATTAAAAAAAATAGAAAACTCTATTGGTTATAGGATAAAGTAGTTATGTATGGTTGGTTTGATATGCGGTTTATACCTCGTGAGATATACAAATCTACCTTCAGTCCCTGCGGTCCCTCAGGTAAATTTGCATATCTCCCTCTGGATA